CGGGGGAGACCCCCAACAAGAGAATCCCCTTCCTTTCGGGGAGAATCCACCAGGGTGCCAGTGGGCGGTTTTAGAGGATTTTTCCCCCCCCCCCCCCCACCCTCCCCCCCCTCCCCCCCCCCCCCCTCTCCCAGCTCCACCCCGCCGCCCTGCAGGGGAGTTTGGCGACCTGATGAAGACCGACTTCTTCATGGTCATCTTCTCGATCCTATTCGTGCTCGTCTACATGTGCTACCACACGGGATGCCTCACCCTCGGCTGTCTCGGCCTCCTCATGATCCTCCTCTCCTTCCCGCTCGCCCTCTTCCTGTACGTCGTCGTCTTCCGCGTGCGCTACTTCGCGATGATCCACGTCCTCGCCATCTTCATCGCCCTCGGCGTCGGCGCGGACGACATCTTCGTCTACGTCAACGCGTGGCGCCACTCGCGCCGCGTCGCGACCTCGTTCGAGGCGCGCATCGCCTACGCCCACCGCAAGACGTACCGCGCCGTCCTCGCAACCTCCTTCACCACCGCCGTCGCCTTCTTCGCCACGTGGGTCTCGCCCGTCATGCCCGTCGGCGCCTTTGGCTGCTTCGCCGCCCTCGCCATCGTGATGACCTTCGCCCTCGTCATCTCCTTCTTCCCGGCCGCCCTCATGATCTGGGAGCTCCGCTTCCGCCGCGCAAAGTGCGTTGGCTGCTGCTGCCCGTGCATCGGCTGCTGCGCGCTGCCCTCCGTCGGCCCCGAGGGCGGCGGCGGCGAGGCTGGCGGCGGCGAGGCTGGCGGAGGCGAGGCTGGCGGCGGCGAGGCTGGCGGCGGCGAGGCTGGCGGCGGCGAGGCTGGCGGCGGAGAGGGCGGCATCGGAGAGGGCGGCGGCGGAGAGGGCGGCGGCGGAGAGGGCGGCGGCGGAGAGGGCGGCGGCGGAGAGGGCGGTCCGATCGGCCGTCCCGAACGCCTCTTCCGCGACGTGTACCTCCCCGCCATCACCGCCTCGTGCCCCTCGACGTCGCGCCGGCTCAAGCCCGTCTCGCTCGGTCTCGTGGTCTGCTTGGCTGGCGTGGGCGGCTACCTCCTCTCACAGGCGCTGGAGCTCAGCCCGCCCTCCAAGGCGGAGGAGTGGTTCCCCGCGAACCACATGGCGAACGGCTTCGTCGAGGCGGCGCAGAACGACTACCTCGCCGAGGACGACGACGCGTTCGCCGACGGCTACGTCTTCATCGGCCTCAAGAAGCTGTACGTGGACAGAGGCGTCTACACGAAGTGGATCCCGCAGGATAACCGCGGGACGCTCGTCTACGATGACGCCTTCGACCTGTCGGACGCCGCCGCGCAGGAGGCGTACTTGCGGCTCTGCGACGAGGTGCGCGCGGCGCCGTGCGACTCGGAGGGCTGCCGCAAGGTGCCCGGCCGGCTGGTGGATCCGCCGACGGTGCGCTGCTTGCTAGTGGAGTTTGCTGCGGAGCGCGGCAACGTCACGGGCGCGGCCTTCGAGCCCGAGCTGGCGGCGTGGGTGGCGGAGGACCCGTTCGAGCGGGAGGAGCTCGCCGGCTTCGTCGACGGCGAGCTGAAGTACGTGACGGTCGCCTTCAAGACGACGATGCGCGACGAGGAGACGAGCGAGCTGGTGCAGGAGGTGTACGACGAGTGGCAGGACCTGCTGCGCCCCTTTGTGGCGACGGCGCCCGCCAGCCTGGCGTCGTGCGAGGGCGAGAGGTGCACGCTCTTCGTCAGCACCTGCGGCGGCCGCGACGACTGCGGCCTCGCCTTTGCGTGGATGGTGACGCAGCGCGAGCTGGTGCGAGGCCTCTTTAACGGGCTCGCCATCTGCGCGCCGGTCGCGTTCGCCGTGCTGCTGCTCGTGACGGGCTCGCTCACGGTGGCGCTGCTCGCGATCCTCTCGATCGGGCTCGTCGTCACCTCCCTCCTCGGCACGATCAAGACCATCGGCTGGGAGCTCGGCGTCGGCGAGGCCATCGCGGGCACCATCGTGATAGGCCTCGCCGTCGACTACACCGTCCACCTCGGCCACACCTACACAGCGGCGGCGGCCGAGACGCGAGAGGGAAAGACGGCGGCCGCCGCCACCGTGATGGGGCCGACCGTGGTGGCGGGCGCCTTCACCACCTTCGGCGTCGCCTTCTTTATGTTCTTCTGCCAGCTCACCTTCTTCACCAAGATGGCGACGCTGATCGGCGGCACGGTGGGCTACTCGCTGCTCTACTCGCTCTTCTTCTACGTGCCGCTCCTCGCGCTCGTCGGCCCGTCGGGAAAGCTGAGGAGCACCGCCGAGCGCCTCCGCGCAATGTACCGGACGTGCCGGGGGGGTGGCGGGGGCGGCGGGGGCAGCGGAGGCGGCGCGACTCGGCGCGGCAAGCCGCAGCGGCAGGCGGAGCCCGCTGATCTGTAGTCTCCTCCTCTTCCTCGACCGCGAGCTCCGCGGAAATGGCATCCGCACCCACCGTGTCTCCTTGACTCCTTGACTCATGACTGCTGGTGGGCCACGTCTGGCCATTGGCGCCTTTGCCTGTAGGGCTGTCAGTTTGTAACTCTTTCTCCTCGCTGTCGTGCGCCGTGATTTTCGGATCTGCCTCGCGTGTGCATTATATGTACGTGACCTTGAAGCTCTTCAGACTTCACAAATTAAAACTGCGGAGCTCGGGGCGGGAGGACCCGTCCCGTCTCTCTCTCTCATGTCAGTCTTCTCTCTCTCTCACGACACAGATCACAGTCTCACTAGATGGGTAAAAGGAGAGCGCAGTGCAGCGGCTCCAGCTGGTCTCCCTCCCCCCCCCGCGGGCAACCCCAGAGTTGACTTTGTGCTGGCGGGTCATCTGTTACTGTTAACAGAAGACTCTGTCTGGACCTACCCCTCGCCCCCGGCCGGGGGCGTGAACAGCCGAACTAGAGGGCCGGCATGCGCGCCACGTAGTAGCGCGTGCAGCTGTGCGCCTACATCGCGGCCAATCTAAGTGGTGCGCCTACATCACGGCCATTCTAGTGGCGCGTGCAGTTGCAGCGTCTACACCGTGACCAGAATGGCCGGGTGCATGAATGTGTCGAGCTCCATTGACGTCGTGACCGTCCTTCTCCTCTCAACCTTCTCCAATGCACCACCCGAGGGGGGCAGCTGCCCGGCGGCGACCCGTGAGAGCAGCGGCAAGTGCTGGATGGATCACCGCTGGCATTTGGTGCCAACGTTCGCCTTCCTGGCAGCGTCGCATTTCAACGCTCGCAGCGCTCGCTACGGTGCCTTCAATCAAAGCCTCTCTCATTGCGACCGGAAGATCCGCCTCTGCTTTGCAGACTCTATGACGCATCCCTACACGGCTTTCGAGGAGACGCTGCTGCGCGTGCCCCCAAGGCAGTTCGTGCAGTTTGCGCAATCTCGTGACTTCATCACTCACTATTCAGGCACTGCTGCCGCGACTGCAGTGGATAGACTTGAGTCCGATATTGAGTGGCTTCACGGTGTCGTCGGCACCGGGCGGTCGAGCAGCAGTAAATTGACTGCTACTCTCACGAGTGCCCTCGATATCCCGCAGATATCGTACAAGGCAACCTCGCCGACGCTCGCCGATGAGACATTATATCCTTTCTTTGGCCGGACCATACCGTCAGACAAATTTGTCGCTGAGTCAATCGTCCGGCTGTGGCGCGAGCTGAGTCTCAAATACGCTGCTGTTATCTACGTAACTGACGAGTACGGTATTGCCTTCAACGACGCGATTGTCGTCGCGGCGGAGTCATCCGAGGTCGACGTGCGCTCCTTCCCGTTTTCCGCCCGCGAGTCGCGGGCGGAAAAGACAGCTTTAACGCAAGCGATCTCTAGCTTGAAGTTGTGGAAGCCACGCGAGACCACCCCGGTGCAAAACATCTTACTGATTGGATATGACAACCATGCCCAATTATTGTATGAGGCGGCTGTCGCGCAGCCGCATCCGCTGCTATCGCCTGACTCCCCGGCGCTCGTCATGCTTGGCGACGGATTTGCGGCGCCAGACCTGGACGCGATCCCTCCTGGCAAAGCGAGGGAGGCCGCCAACGGGGCCGTGAGCATCCGAGCCGTCGGCGCAACCGACGACGGTAATGTGCACTGGTCCAACTTCGTCGAGGACTGGCCGTCAGCAGAGGCGGAGAGGGAACACCTGAACCGCTACTTGCCGGGCGAATGGAAGGTCGACGAGGACTTGTTCACTAATGAGAGCTTCTTCAACCTCAGCGTATCCGATCAGGCCCGCAATACAGCGGCGTTTGCCTACGATGCGGTTTCGACCCTGGGTCTCCTGGCGTGTGAGGTGCTGCCACGCGGCCCCTTGCCGGCGAACGCGAGCTTTGGCAAGCGCATGTGGGAGGCGATGCCAAGCCTTCGCTTTGAAGGGCTCACGGGCCACGTCAGATTCGACAACGATCGCAGCCGCGCCAGGTCCAGTTCAACATTTGAGCTGCTCAACTTTGTTCTCCTGGAGGATGGCTTCACGGCGATCCCACGGGGGACGTTTGGCGTACGGCAAGACGTTGAGCAGGTGCACAACAGTCTGAGGTACTCCTTTGGCAGCCTCGGACCCGTTCGCGACCCGCCGAACAAGTCCGAGCCCAGCGAAAAGCATGTTATCATTATCACTGCTGTCGCGACTATCGGGCTGATTGTCTTCCTGGCTCTGTCCGCGCTGCTAAACCGCAAGCTTCGCGCTGCCTCAGAAAAGTACGGTATCTCGCTGAAAAAGCTGCTCAGGCTCTTTGTCTGGCGCAGACTGCCAAGGTGGTACCAGAAGTGGTACATGAAGCTATTCAAGCTCGATCCCAAGCAGCAGCTCGAAAAGATGCAAAAGCTGCCGTCGATGGACCCTTCTCTCGTAGCGGCCCTGAACACGCATGCCGAGCTGCGCCGCTTGTACGCGCGTTACGCATCACGCGACGCCGCGATGACGTTGGACGATTGGCTGCGTTTCTGCTCAGTCGAGCAGCGCGAGGTCAACCTCGAGGCCGCGCACCTCGCCTTCGCGCGCGTGGCTGCTGGCGACAAGTTCCGCTCGAGTCCAGAAAACCTCTCGGGTCGATCCTCGGGTTTGAAGTCGCTATTTGAGTCATCGCTCAAACCCGGGACTGCACCCAGTGGTGCGGGCATCCCGGGGCGCAGATTCATGAAGATGCTGCCTCGGACCCGTGGGGCGGGTGCCACCAGCAGCACGGCCATGCAGAGCATCGCCAATTCGCCCGACCGCCTCTCCTTTGAGCACTTTGCGTTGCTCATCGTGAGCGCGCAAAACAAAGCTGCCTCGCCCGCGCTGCTAAACAAGGCGCACGACATCTCGCGGCCAATCTCCGAATACTGGATCGCGGCATCGCACAACACGTGAACATGAAACCCCTCCCGAGCGCTACAACTGGTGATGCCACAACTCACCGGCCTCTCGTGGAACAGGTACCTCGTCGGCCACCAGCTAACCTCGGATGCCTCCGCCAAGATGTACTCCCGCCAGCTCATCCAGGGCTGCCGCTGCCTCGAGGTGTGCAGCTAGAGGAGGGCCCTCTCACGCACAGCCAAGACCGTCAGGGCCCTCTCACGCCTCCAGTACCACGCGCCTCAGATTGACATCTGGAATGGGAAGGACGGCGAGCCAGAAGTGACGCACGGCTACACCCTCGTTAACAACGTCAAGCTGCGCAAGGTGCTGGAGCAGATCAAGAAGTTTGCGTTTAAAACCTCCGAGCTGCCGGTCATACTCTCGCTTGACGTCAACGCGAGTCCCAGGCAGCAGGAGAAGGCAGCAGCCATGATCGTGTCCATCTTTAAGTCGGATTTGATGCTCGCTGACGAGATTGGGGGGACCCACGCGCTGCTGCGGCCGAGCGTCAGCCCCGGGCAGCTGCGTCGGCGAATCCTTTGCAAGGGCAAGACAGAGGCAGGCCGCCAGCGTTGCGGCTCCTTGACGAGGCGCTTGCGCGCGACGCCAACGTCAAAGGCAAGGAGACGCTTCCGGCCGTCAGACGCGACAATGCAGGCCTGAGGCGCTCCCTGAGAATCGTGCTGAAAGGCAGCGCCTACAAAGCGCGTGGTGGCCGTAGCGATGTCCCTGACAGCGGTCGTGACTTGAGCGACGGCGACGAGTCCCGGCCGAGTGGAGGCGATTCGCGCTTGGGCAGCAGCGACGAGCAGTCGAGCGAGGCGCGACTGAGCAAGACAGTACTGCACCAGATGCCACTGCAAAGGATTGAGGCCGCGCACGCCCTGACGTTTGACGCCTTTTGCTCCGAGGCGATTGAGAGTAGCGCTGCGGACCTTCTCACAGTCACCTCGGCCTCTGAGCTCAAGTTCACGCCTGCTTTCAGCCAAGAAAAGGAGGGAGCGGTGAACAAGCGTGGCAGTGGGTGCGATGTCATCATGAGCAGCCTGCGGCACAGATGTAGGGCGCGGACCCGCCGGCAAGGTGTTATGGTGACGCGCACCAACATGGAGAACCCGGAGCAGCAGCGAGTGAGCGATGAGGAGTGGGTTGAGGCTATGCTTGCACGGACGGCTCGCCGCCTCGTGCGCATCTACCCTCGAGGCACGCGCACGAAGAGCGACAACTTCGACCCGCTGCCCTACTGGAGTGCAGGGGCGCAGCTGTGCGCGCTCAACTTGCAGACCAACGATCTGCCGACGCAGCTGCACCATGCGCTCTTTGAGCTCAACGGCGGCTCCGGTTTTGTGCTCAAGCCGGCCGAGATGCTCGGAAACGCGCCCCGCTGGCCTCCTCCGCGCGTGCTGCTGCACGTGGCGACGCTGCGCCCGATCTCGCTCCTCAATTTGCCGGCGGTCGGCACGGATAGGCCGGATCTGATCGGGCCACGCGCCGAGTCGCACAGGCACTGCAGTGGCCTCTCCATCGCGCTAGGTCGGTCTGGAAGCGGGTCGCCGCACGTCACCACTGAAACTGGCAAGGGTGACGACGCCGCGGCCACTTCCAACAACCTCCCCTCTCTCAGCATCGAGCTGCACACCATCGGTGGCTTCGCGTGTGTGAGCCCAGCGCTGCCGCCTTCCGCGGCAGCTCGTGCGCGGAAAGGGTGGTGGCTGCAGCTCTACGCACTTCGAGGGCGAGTTGCACTGCGTCGCGGCGGAGCCGCAGCAAACAGTGCTGCGAGTGGCGGTGGTCGACGAGGCCGACGCGGAGGTGGCGTACGAGACGTGCGTGCTCGGCGTGCTGCGGGAGGGCTACCGCGTCCTTCACCTGCGCTCGATGCGAGGTACGCGCATCAAGAACTGCTTTCTGCTCTGCCACGTCTCCTTCACCACCCAGGTCAACGCTTGGGTCGGCGAGCAGCCTATGGTGACGACGCTTCGCCAGTTGCAAGGCGAGGTCGACTCAGCTCGCAGCCGCATCCGTGAGCTCGAGGCGCTGGCGGCGCGAGTTAATCAAGAACGCGAGCCGATAAGTTAAAAAGCCGAATTAGTGTTCTGTGTCTTCTATTGTTTTGTTGGTCGATACGTGGCACATCTCAGGTGACCATAGACGTTCTGTTTATAAATGTAGAGCCAATAATGCGACGCCGGTCACACACGAGAGCGCGACGTGCAGCTCTTGTGAGCAGGAACAGTCCACCTCGCGATCGCAATATCGGGCGCCCATGCCGCCGGCCCTCGCAGACCCCTTCCACGCTGTGCGGGACGGGGAAAGCGAGAGCGCCGGAACGAGGTTTCCAGCACGGAACGCCGTCATGTCGCGCGAAGCTTCGCCCCCGCCGCACCAGAGCTGCACTCGCCCGGCGCCGTAGACCGGCGCGTGGCTTGATACTATACACCGCCACTGCAGTGGCCTCGCTAGGGAGCGGCGCACGGCTGGACGTCGGCCGGGACGCGCCCCGCCTTGGCGAGTACCTCGGCAGCGCACGCCGCGGGCGCCGGCCCCTTGTACGCCTTGCAGACCTCCTCGGTCAGTTTAGAGCCGGACGACTTGGAGAGGTTGCCCCCGACAACCACCCAAGGCGTGTACTTGTGGTCGGAGGGGGTCAGCGCGAAGTACTTGCGCTGCAGGGCGGCGGCGCGCGGCGCGTCCTTGACGCACGCGTCGAGCTTGGTCGCGTCCATCTCTGCGGCGCTCGCGCACCTGGAGAGGCATTCGTTGGAGACGCGTGGGACTCGAAAAGGAGGTGCAGGCTGCGCAGGGCGCACTTGGCCGAGGTCGCGGCGATGTCCTCCGTCCCCTTGAGGAAGGCCGACTCGAGGCACGTAAAGTACGGGAAGTGCACTTTGAAGGCTGGGTACTCGTCGATAGCGCACTGCTCGTACGAGTTAGCCGTGCACTCGTTGGGCCCGTGCTGGCAGGTCAGAACGCCGCCGTTGTACTTGGCGTTGCCGAACGGAACTACGGAGGCGTGGGGCAAGTGAGAAGGCGAGGTTGGCACGAGCAGTTGGCAAAGAACTTGCACCGAGCGTCACGTTCATGATTGCGCCGACCTTCTCCACGGCCTCGACGAGCGGGCCGGTGGAGAACTGGGCGCAGCCGGGTCAGAGGGCCTCGGTGCACGCGAGCACGGGCACGGGCTGTGCGGCGTTGCTGTACGCCGTGGCGAGCGTGGGAAGGAGGAGCGCCGTCGAGAGCGTTCGAGACACGGTCATGGCGGCCGACTTCCAACCCTCAGAGAAAAAAGTTGCTAAACGGGGTTGCTAAAGAGGCAGACTCCCTAGGGTGGGCGACGGATAGCGCACCACACACCTCTCCTTAAAATCCCTGTGTGGTGGCGGCGTGCCGTCCTCCCATCCCTCCCTTGGGTTGTCTGTTTTCTTTCTTTCTTTCTAAACGTGGTTGCTCAGGTCCACTCTCGTTTCGAGCACTTTTGTACCTCCACGGTCGGTGTTGGCGCTTGGGTTCCCTTCGGCGTACATCGTGGGGTGACTGACGATCGGATTCGTCTTCGCCGGACTTCTTCCGTTTGGGAGAGAGAGATTTTTAGCAATAGAGCTCTACCAAACAACTCTAACACTCACACATCGTTTGGGGCCTGCCCTGTTCACGCGCGCGCAAGACGTGCAGACAGGGTTGCCAGGTGAGAGCGAATGGCGCGGTTCACGCCTCGCACAACAGAGAGAGGAATGCGCTCTGCATGGACCATGGTGGGACATAAAAGAGAGCGAGTACTTGGGCGAGTAGGCCGTGCGGTCGACGCTGCCGCGCGCGACCTTGCGCGCGAGGCGGCGCAGCTCGAGAACGGCGGTGGGCGAGAAGCCGCCGCCGAACGTCTCGTGGAGCAGCAGGTTGAAGTTGTTGCGCTTGACAAAGATCGCGTCGTGGTAGAAACCGCGATGCGCCTTGACGTAGCCGTGGCCGGTCTTGTGGGAGAAGGGTTGGCCGGGCTGCCCGCGCGCCTTGCAGCCCATGTTTAGGCGACGGGCCTTCTCTTCGGTGTTGCCGAAGGCGTAGGAGTGGCCAACGGAGGCGGGCGTGCCGCCGCTCGAGGCGTTGCCAACGCCCGCCGAGGAGGTCTTGAGGAGGGGCGTCCAGAGCTTGACCTCATTCACTTCATCGCACCCCCCCGGCCCTGCATGGGGTTCTGCGAGGTCGGTCTTGTACCCGTCATTGTACTGCCGGGTGAGCTCCGTCCGGTTTCTCCTTGTCACCGTGCACGTCACGACCGGCGTTGGCCGGGGCGTGCATCGCGTCCGCCCAGGCGGCGAGGACGCCGTCGTGGGGCCGCCGGTGGTGGGCCTTGTTGTAAAGGTAGTCGCCGAAGAAATCGACTGGCATGCCCCGCTCGAGCGCGACCCGAAGGGTGGGAAGCGCCGCGGAGAGCCAAGTTTTTGTGTCCGTTCGGCGCGACGGCGCGGCTCACTCTCCATGCCGTGAACAGGCGCCCTATCCATCTGATCTTCTTCTCTCGCTCCTCTGCGCATGCCTGGGTCTTATCATTGTTTCGTACCCATGTGCCCATCTCTGGATGGCGATCGAAGCTGCCCTCCCCACTACCTGCAGTTCACCCTCTCCGGCGAGCTCCGCACTTGGAGCACTTGGAGTGCAGTCATCAACCTCACATCCAGGACCGGGGAGCTAAGAAGCGCACCCAGCGGGCCAGATCGGTATCGGGTTACGGGCTAGAGAGCCCTAGCCCCCCCGCTCTCTTTCTTTCGGGGGGAGGGAGTCTCTGTCAGTGCGGGCAGCGTGCACAGGCAATACTGGGCGTTATTTTGTCGTACTCCTCTTTTCGGCGAGCGCTCCAAATCTGCCTTTATTCCCCATTGCCTTTAAGGAGCTGCTGCCGCTCCTCTCATTTTTTGTTTGTTTGTCTCGTCTCAGGAAGAGAGAGAGATTTTTAGCAATACCAAACAACTCACAAAAACAACTCTAACGCTGACGAGAGAGAGAGAGAGAATGAGAGAGATCAGGAATGGCCCGTGTCTTTTGATTCAGGCGCCGCCCGTTCGACTCTTGCTATCACCCTCGCCGTGTGTTTGTCTCCTTTGTAACGCGCCTCTTCCTTGTTTCCACTACAGCTTGGGAGGACACGCCATTTGTTTTCTCGAATCGGTAGAAGGCGCCTCGGACAAGGGCGGACAGCTACGACCCCACGGTGCCGAGTCGCTACGGTGATGAGTCGCTACGACCCCACGGTGCCGAACCTGTCGCCCCGGAGCACCCTCGAGGCGCTCCGCGCGCGCAGGAAAAATCCGTCTTCTCCGGCGCTGGCGAGAGGCGGCAGCGACTCGATGTCGGATCTCATGGCGTACGGGCAGCAGCTGGAGAGCGCTGACGGGGCGCCGATGCTTCCAGAGTCGCGGCGCGCGCGCACGATCGCCCGCGCCGTCCCCGCGCCTCACCTCCATCCCACACACACACACACAATTATCCGCCACGCACCCACCCCCGACCCACACAGCGGCAACGACGACGACGGCGCCGCGTATGCCCCGGCTGCCGATGCATTCGACGCCGCCGCTGGCGAGTCGCCCTCGCTGCTGCAAGTGTGGCTCTGCATGCTCGCAGCTATGGAGCTCCCCATCATCGTCCACTCCATCGCGACGGCCGACCCGCTCGACTCCGATGCCGCCGAGCGGCTCTACACTCGCTGCGTCCTCGCGCTGCTCCGGCTGCTTGCTGCGGCGGCGGCTGACCGGCACGTTCTCGCCGCCGTCGCCACGGTGCACCTCCTCGAGCTCGCCCTCCTCGGCTACGAGGCGCGCCTCGCCCACTCGCCGCCCGTTTGCACAGCGCGCCAACGCCGCACACCCATCGCCCCGGCCATCTCCGGCACGTCGCCCCTATCGATCCTCCCATCGCCCGGCATCGCCCGCGCCCATGTCGCCTCTCTGCCCCGCCTACCCGCCCTCGCTCCCCTGTGCGGCCGCAGGCGTACGACTCGCTAGTCAACTTGACCCTCGCCGGCCTACCTCTCGCTCGCAGCGGCTTGCGGCTCACGATGGCCACGAACGCTGCCGTCCTCGTCGCCGCCGCCGGCGTCGCCCCTCCGCCGCGAGCAAAGTCAGATTGAGCGAGTGTCGCTTGGGGGCCTGCCTCGGTGGCGACAAGTGAAGAGCAGTGTGCGACAGACCGCGCAGCGCTGATGTCTGGCATGCGTGTACATGGCCCGCATTGCCATGAGTTGTGAAGAGTTGTGAATCGCGAGCGTCCGGGGACCCTCCTCATCATCTCCTCACCTCTCTCAGTGTATCGTGTATGTGACTCTCTTTGAGCTTCAGTGTACAACGTGGTACACTCCTCTGCGCATTTAGATTTTATTGTAGAAGCTAGTAGCTAGCTAGTTAGCTACGCGGAAAACACCTCTTGGTTCTGTATACGGGTTACGGCCATGCGGGGTGTGGACCGTGAGTTGACCAATGACCAGGGGGTTGTGCGCCGGGCCCTCCTGCTCGGCTCCAGCCGGTAGACAAGACTTGTCATCAACAGAGGAGAAGGATCTGACACCTCAGGGCTGATGTGACCAAGCGCTGGTAGCGTGGTTTAACCTCACACCCATGGTCTCACAGTGTGCCGGCAGTCGTCGAGCAGTGTCGCTCACACAAGCCGCAGCACAAGTGACTGAGGGCCAGTGAGGGCGAGCCCATGGCTCGTTGTGGGCCACGATGTCTCAAATATGAAGGGTTTTGACTCCTTCCAGCTCCTGACGCTATCCCTGGCAGCTCTAATGACCAGGGTCGGTAGTGCTGTGGTAGAGGGTGCTCATACTAGCGCAAGAGCTGCCACGCTCGCCCAGACCGTCCCCTTCTGGGGCCGGTTCCGCAGCCCAGGAGAGCCGACCGCGGGGCCGTGCCGCGGGTGCCTACTGCCGAGTGCCACAAACACTGCGCCGTCCCGCCATCACCTACAGGCTGTCTTGTGTGA